ATAACCTCTTTGTTTGAAACGTGCACGGTAATTTGCCTTTAACAATTGCACTTTCTTCACAAAATCACTTCTGCGTGTGGATCCCTTGCAGTATTAATTTGCGAGTATTATTATTGTCTTGTGAACGTATATGCAAATTACACACATACTTAATAGCAGTTGGGTGGCGAGTCACTTTTTTATATATACAGCATATATACAGCCTTTATATATACCAATCCCTGATAATTGAAAGAGAGAAATATATTGAGTTAAATAAAGTTTTACCATAACTATTTTATATATAAATTTAACGGCTACTTCTTCAATTCCGGAAATTATATCTTTTGTTTGGCGTTTCGACCACAAGAGTTGGTATCTTTTTCAGCGGCAGAAACTTTCGTTTATTGAATACTTGGCGAACAAATTCGATAATCTAAGCATTTATTTTTGTTTAAGAGTAAGGTTGCTATCACATATTAAAGCACATCGTCGAATTTATCTGTGATTGATTTTAATTCAAGTACCATTTTTAAACATGGAGTCGTTCATTCGTTTGGCAGAGGCAATAATCGAATTTGAATCCGATTTTAGCAGCACGCCACCTGCAGAGCAAAATAAACATGGTCTTGCAATACAGCAAGACGAACTGAAAGATATGTGGGAAAAAAACTAAACAAGGGTATGATACTATAATAAACAGAGAAGGGTTGTCGAAAGAAGACATTAAGGCCATAAGGAGAAAACATAAAAGCTCGTTCGCTAGCTATGTTAAATGCATGTCTGCCATGGCGAGTCAGTCCGAAACGCTTGTTAACGCAGAAAAGGATGTACAGGATCAGTCGGTCCGTGAACACAATATCCACCTACCTCCGTGTGATACCGATGTGTTCAAGGGTGACTATCTGTCATGGCCATCATTTCGTGATATGTTCACGGCCATATACATCCTTAACAAGCGCCTCACTCCGGTTGAGAAACTATTTCATCTCAACCAAAAGACTCAAGGGGAAGCCAAAGACATCGTGAGAAAGTGTCCACTCACAAACGAAGGCTTCCAAACAGCCTGGAAAAGTTTATGCGAGAGATATGAAAACAAGCGTATCCTCGTAAATACACAACTGAAAATACTTTTCAATTTAAATTCAGTGGAAAATGAGTGTGGTAGCTCAATAAAAAGGTTGCAGCGGGATATAAATAATTGCTTATCGTCCCTAAACAGTCACCAAATTAACGTTTCAAACTGGGATGCAATTATAGTCTACCTCTGCTCCACCAAACTTCCAGAAAGTACGCTGGCTCTATGGGAACAAACCATAGACCACAAAAATGTTATACCAAAGTGGGAGGATATGGACAAGTTCCTATCCAACAGATTTCAAACGCTGGAGACTTTATCAGGCTTAAAAAATTCCAAAGCTGTGAGAGCGCCAAAGCCACAGACACACAAACCAGCAGAAGCCTCCCCAAAACGACTTGGCGTTTTCCAAGCAAGCGTGACCAAGTTCACTTGCATAATGTGCCAGTCCAATGAGCACAAGTTACGCAGCTGTTCCCGCTTCTTAAAGATGACACCATCTGAAAGAATAGAGTTCATGAAAAACAATAACTCTTGCTTGAACTGTCTTAAGTCTGGACATACTGTGTCAAGATGCACATGCTCGTTTAATTGCAGCAAGTGCCACTCCCGACACCACACGCTCCTGCACCTTGAGACTGACCAGCAAAAGCCTACAGCGCACCAAATGCCGCCAAGCTCAACTGGTAATCGAGCATCTACATCGAAGCAAGCACAAACAAGACGCAAGACAGGAAAACCAAATTCAACTGGGGACAAAAATGTCAAGTCTTGTTTTGCAAATTCAAATACTGGTGTGCTCCTAGGAACAGCGCGCGTAAATATACATTATAATGGAACCGATTTTTCTGCAAGAGCTCTTATTGATTCCGGGTCTGAGTGTTCCTTTATAACGGAAAGACTCAAACGCCGAATCAACCTGCCATCCAAAAGGTTGCATGCCCAAGTTTCCGGCATCACAAATTCCATATCGGCGCAGGTCAAAGAAGCATGCAATATAGAAATACGGTCACCGATTGACCCATTATTCCGGTCGAAAACCACTGTGCTTGTCTTAGCACAACTAACTGGAAATCTTCCAACTACCCATATTAGCGCTGAAACTAAACAAACATTCCCAGATTTGGTTTTGGCCGATAAAAGGTTCTTTGTTAATGAGCAAGTGGACCTTGTGCTTGGAGGAGATATTTATCCAGAAATCATTTTGAGCGGCTTGAAGAAAAATGTACTAAATACTCTTCTAGCCCAAGAAACCGTGTTCGGTTGGATATTAACCGGCCGCCCAGATGCAACAAGTGCAACCAACCATATTGCTTCATACTTTAGCGAAGTCGCCTTGGATAAGCAGCTTACTGCGTTCTGGGAAGTAGAGGATCTGCCGAAAAGCAAAAGCCTAAGTGAGGAAGACAAGTACTGTGAGGAGTTGTACAAGAATACAACTCAACGTACCCAAGACGGGAAATATGTAGTTTCGCTACCATTCAGGCAGGATTTTCCAGAGAATGTCTGCCTAGGACCCTCCCTAAAAAGAGCGTGCTCACAATTTTTCCGACACGAGACGCGATTGGCCAAGGATCCTGGACTACAAAAGGAATATAACAGGGTATTATCGGAATACGAATCGTTAGGGCATATGTCAAAGCTAATAAATAATATACCAGCAGAGTCCTCCGACAACTATTTCCTGCCTCATCACGCGGTCATCAAGGCAGAAAGCACGTCAACAAAACTTCGCGTGGTTTTTAATGCCTCAAGTCCGACGGCAAATGGTGTAAGCCTCAATGATGTACTGCTCCCAGGACCAGTACTCCAGGCGGATCTTCTCATATTAATCCTACGTTGGAGATTATATAAATACGTCTTCAACAGCGACATCGAGAAGATGTACCGGCAAATTATGGTGCATGACAATCACACTAAGTTCCAGCGCATAGTTTTTTCGTACCAATACGAACGAACCGATCAGTCTTTACGAGCTGAAGACGGTCACTTTCGGGGTTAACTGTGCTCCTTACTTGGCAATAAGGACACTTTTACAACTAGCTGATGATGTGGAAAACTCCTCTCCGATAGCATCCAATATTTTACGAAGATGCATGTACGTCGACGACGTTCTAGCGGGAGGACACAGCATTGACTCTGCGATAAATGCCAGAGATGAAATAACCCAAGTGTTAGAGTCAGCCGGTTTTCCATTAAGAAAATGGACTGCCAATTGCGAAGATTTACTGAAAGACATTCCAAAAACGAATCTACTAACCGAAGATTTTCTTGAATTCGAAGAAACTAGCGCAGTGAAGGCTCTCGGCATAAGATGGAACGCCCATACGGATTTATTCTATTTTATGGCGAGACCATTAGAAGAAAGCGATAATCCAACGAAAAGGGCGATATTATCAGCTATCGCCAAACTTTTCGACACCCTGGGGTGGCTCGCGCCCATCATAATCGTAGCCAAAATACTAATGCAGGGTATTTGGCTGGAAGGCACGGACTGGGATGAAACCGTAACTCCAACTACCCTGGATCGCTGGAAAATTTTTACACAACATTACCATGAGATCGATAACATACGAATACCTCGTTGGGTACATTTCTCACCAACAGATGACGTCGAAGTACATGGCTTCTGTGACGCATCGGAAAAAGCGTATGCGGCTGCTGTATATCTGCGCGTTACACAAAATGCAAAAGTTTTCGTAAGTCTACTTTTGGCAAAAACAAAAGTAGCCCCAGTAAAGACTATCTCATTACCTCGATTGGAACTTTGCGGCGCCGTACTGCTTGCAGAAATCATCGAGACGGTTCTGAGAAATCTTGACTTGGGACATTTAAAAGCACACCTGTGGACGGACTCAACAATCGTTCTCGCGTGGATACGAAAGCCGCCTTGTTCGTGGTCGACCTTTGTCGCCCACAGGATAACAAAAATAGTAGAAAATGTTGGTAATAAGAACTGGCTGCATGTGGATTCGGCATCAAATCCAGCAGATTTAGCCAGCCGAGGACTGCCTGCTTACGAATTGGTTGACAATCCCTTGTGGTGGCAGGGACCTTCTTGGTTACAAGAAGACCAAACTAAATGGCCTGTACAAGAGGCAAACTACAACACAATAGTCGAGGAAAAGAGGGTGCATGTGCACGCAGCAACTAAAATACATAATGCAACTAATATTTTAGATAGATTTTCAGGATTGCCTAGGGCTTTGAGAGTTTTATCATATATTATAAGATTTTTTCAAAGAACCCATCCAAAAACAAGAGCTTCGTTTCGAGCCGAGACTTCTTTAATTTCCGCTGATGAAATTAAAACAACGACTCAACGCTTGATAAAAATTTGTCAAAAGCAACATTACTTTGAAGAATATAGTAAACTGAAATCCGGGGAATCCATCGATGCGAAGAGTGAAGTTTTGCCCCTTAATCCATTTCTCGATAGAGATGATATCATGAGGATGGGTGGTCGCCTCGGCGCGTCTCAAGATCTGGCCTATAATGAGCGCCATCCAATTATCCTTCCATACGATTGTAGATTTTCTCGCCTTCTTGTCCAGTTTGTCCATGAGATTTCTTTGCATGGGGAAAACCAACTAATGTTACGTCTCATTAGGACGCAATATTGGATTCCCCGAGTCAAAAACATGATCAGGTCCGTCATCCACAACTGCAAAGTCTGCACTATCCATAAGAAACGGTCACAAACCCAACTTATGGGTAACCTACCGAAAGAACGCACAACATTCTCGCGTGCGTTTACAAACACAGGTGTCGATTTTACCGGGCCCTTTGAGATTAAGAGCTATCGCGGCCGCGGTTGCCGCATTTCCAAAGGCTACGTTTGCCTTTTCGTTTGTTTTACGACTAAGGCAATTCACTTGGAAGCGACAAGCGATCTCAGCACCCCATCCTTTCTGGCAGCATTCGCTAGGTTTATTGGTAGAAGAGGATGTCCGAAAAACATGTACTCCGACAACGGCACCAATTTTGTCGGAGCTTCTCGATCATTACGATCTGAAATGAAGGCGTTCATATCAGAAGCGCGTGATAAAACTATATCGAAATATAGTCATCAAACACTTACATGGCATTTTATACCCCCAGCAGCTCCTCACATGGGCGGACTGTGGGAGGCGGGTGTAAAAAGTTTCAAAAACCACTTCAAAAAGATTGCATCCACCCACAAATACACCTTTGAGGAGCTCAGTACCTTATTATGCCGAGTTGAGTCTTGTCTCAACTCGCGACCGTTAAGTCCCTCATCGAACGAGCCAACTGACTTGGAGCCTCTAACTCCCGGTCATTTCCTCATAGGCGGTCATTTACTCGCGCCACCGGAATTAGATGTAAATGAAAACCCAGCCTCCATAATAAATAGGTGGCAGAAATTAAAGGCTTTACATCAAACCTTTTGCAGGCGATGGAAGTCAGAATACCTATCCGAACTACAGAAGCGAATTAAGTGGAACAAGTAAGAAAGCCTAAGTTCGGGCAGAGCCGAACATTAAATACCCGGCGCACGTATTAAATATATGTTTTTCGCCTTACCGAAAGCTACGGCTATATGGTAAGCCGGGGCGTATCAATTTTGAGTAAATTAGAGTCCTTAGATTTCGAAATTTTGAAGTTTCAAGCAGTTCTGAAATTTACCGTTATATGAGAAGCGGCCGTTATTTTAGTCCGATTTCAATAATTTTCAACGGTTTGCTTATATGTGGCAAGCACAATAACCACACCGAGTTTGGTACAAATTGGTAGAACGGTTACTGAGATACATATATGTGATCATAAGTGGGCGGTGCCACGCCCATTTTCCAAAAATTTATCACAAACGTATTTCTTGGTAAAGAATTGTTGCAAGCATCAATTTTGAATAAATTAGCTTCAATATTTACTGATTTATCGAAGATTTTGTATTTCTCTAAATTACCGTTATATGGGATGTGGGCGTGGTTATCGTCCGATTTTAACAATTTTAGGCGATTTTGTATGCTGTACCAGGGCCGACAACTGTGCCAAGTTTGGTAGAAATTGGTACAGCGGTTACCAAGATATACACATGTAACCATAAGTGGGCGTGGCTACGCCCATTTTCCAAAAATGTATAATATTATTATTTTTTGTCAAAAAATTATTGTAAATACCAATTTTGAGTGATTTATCTTCAGTAGTTACTAAAATATCGCAGTTTTCGTATTTCTGGAAATTACCGTTATATGGGAAGTGGGCGTGGTTACAGTCCGATTTCGCCCATTTTCAATAGCAACCTACCTTGGATTAAGGGAAGCCTACATACCAAATTTCGTTGAGATATCTCAATTTTTGCTCGAGTTATCGTGTACACGGACAGACGGACAGACGGACAGACGGACGGACAGACAGACATGGCTTAATCGATTTCTTTTTTTATCCTGATCATTTATGTATACATTTGTCTATATCTATCTCGATTCGTTTTGGCTGTTACAAACAACCGTTATGTGAACAAAATTAATATACCCTTGTGCACAAGTGCGCTCGGGTATAAAAATCCAAAGCAGAATATGGAGATTGGTGATCTCGTCGTTATAAGAGAGGACAATTTAGCGCCTAACGAATGGAGATTAGGCAGAGTAATCAACCTGCACCCCGGTTCCGACAACCGAGTGCGTGTGGTGGACATCACCACCGAGAAGGGTCAGGTAACATGACCGCTGGAAAAACTTATCCTACTGCCACCGTACAACGAGAGAATTGAGAAGCCACCGAATGCTTCTTAATTCTACCCTTTATATGATTACCTAACCCTCTCAACGAGACACCAACTACATCAATATTCCACTCCGTCAGTACCCATACAAATTCCACTTCTATACCTCATGAGAGATGTGAAAAAGTGTCATTGCCGGGTTGTGCGGGAAGGAACCTATTTCCGTACTAAAAAAAAAATGGGTTGGCATTCAAACTTTCGTTATCAGCTGTTTTATTAATTCCTGTGTAAAACAAAGTGCATGCGGAACACCAGAATTAATTATGAAATTAACTAAACTATAATTTTTCGGACGGTTCTTAAATTTACATATGCAGGCAACGATAAACAGGTTCGAGAAACTAAAAGTTACAACGCAATGAAGAGGCGCGCTATTATAAAAAAGTTACAGCTGGGTCAAAATATTAATTAAGGCCTTGGAAAGATGCTTATAATGCTATTGTTCTTAACCTTGCACCCTTAATGTTCTTGTCAATCAAAGCCCTAAGGTTACGCTCTGTATCAATTCCCTGAGAGACCAACTACAAATTTGTGTTAATTGTTTTATGTACATACGTATGTGTGTACATAGGTAGATATGCGCTATGTGCTCTATGCAAATTGAGACTACAATGCTTGAACTGAAAAAAAAATTCAGCGGGCAATTCAAAACTTTCCATCGACGATGGCTCGCCCATGAAACATGCATACACTGGGCGCATGCTGGTACTGATTGAGGCTTGTAATGTTGCGGTTCAAATTCTGTATCCCAAGTTCCCATGGTATGTATTTCCAGGGAACCTGATCTACGAAGTTTATAAGCGCTATATAAAATACTATAAGGGCAAATATCGGCTGGTCCCCATACCGAATACTGTGAGCTATTAATTGCCAACGAGCTTATAAAGTCGGAACACATTGTATTCTCAACGAAAGATATTTATGATGAATATACAGAGTCTGCTGATGTAAATTTTGTTAATTGAGTTATTGCCGCCGAGGGCGCTTTACATCGCTCATCTACTGCTGCCAATACAAAGACTTTAAACTCTGCACCCGATGATGTTATCAAACAAATGCTTAGTTGTGCGCCACATACAATCGTCGCTCAGCTGCTACACAGTACTAGTAGTCAATCAAATTGTATTTTTGTACAGGAGAATTTCTATGCTAATTTAATGGATCGTTTTCGTATAACTAACGATTGTAGTAGACGCACACGCTTCTGGGCACATCTGGAGCACTTAAGCGACGATCAAACGATTCCTAGTATTGCTACCAAAGCGCACATCTATATATTAAATAATCCATATGAATTGCCAGCAGATGTGTCCGAGTTAATTCTTAATAATTATTTTAACGCACCGCGGTTGCTACATCGTGGACACACCTATCGCATTGAAGTAAACGCGCAACTGGTGGGAACCGCTGCGTATGCGCACTACTACTTAATTTTCGCTTATTTGAAACATGTTTACTGCCGGTGTGCGCATCTTGAGTTAAAAGGCAATGATTTGAGATGCAAGCCATTGTTGCTAAGAATTTCACTAACTTGGTGCAGGTGCCGCACACGCACCACTTTCTGCCGCGACAACTTCTAGACAATATTGCCATCACGGACAACTATCCCACCGGCTTAAGGCGTTCATGTCACCTATTGCGCGACTCCATCGATGTTTTTTTTGCCCAAAAAGTCTGCCTGCTTGTCGTCCAAGCACATCTACCCCATATTTCTTTTGCAAGGTGAGCGTGGGGCTGGCAAGACGAAACTGACAAATGCCGTTGCGCAACAGCTGGGTCTCCATGTATTTGGGGTCGACTGTGCTGAGATAGTATCACAAGTGCCTTCTCACACCGAAATGAAATTGAAAACAGTTTTTACAAAAGGTAGCATTAGCGAGCCATTACTAATATGCTTCCACAATTTTGAGATATTTGGCATCGATAATGAAGGTAATGAGGATCTCCGCTTGTTATCTGCTTTTCAAGTGCAAATTGAGGAACTATTCACACACGATCGCAAGCATCCAATTGTTATCGTAGCCCTAACCAATGAAAAATTTCTCAAACCAATGATACAACGACTTTTTTTGGAGGTCATAAAATTGGAAATGCCAACCAATGAAGACCGTTACAGAATACTATGTTGGTTACACTCACGTGAAGTCGTCAACGATAAAATTTTCAATCAAAAAGCGATTACAACTTTACCTCTTTTTAGTTTAGACCAAAGCGATCGTTATATGCCGAAAATCTCCCCAAAATGGTCGCAAGCGAAATCCGTTTTGCGAGATGTTGCAGAAAAATCACAGGGCTCCTTACTGGGCGATTTGCAAATGCTATATGAGAACGCAGTCCGTGCAATGCGTAACAGCCGAGAGATTAAATCCAGTTCCTGCCTCAAATTTACACACTTTTCTAAACACCTTAGCAATATGCAATCTTTGTTTGCCGATAGTCTTGGGGCGCCGAAAGTGCCGAACATGCTGATGCTTATTGGATAATTGTGGATTTGTTATTAAATTCCATAAAAAAACGGCTGGGCAAAATTTGGCTGCAAATTTTATTAAGAATTTGACATTTTGCAAATGAAATGATAAGAAATAAAAGACATACTCACCCATTTACTGGTTTACTCCATGTGGCCATCGATTGAATGATTTTTTTTTCATTCAGGAAATCGTAATGTGAGCCGCGGAGTAGAAAAGTCAACTTAAGTCTCCGCATAAAGCCGCTACTCCATAACTTCCAGCGGCGCCATCTATTTCTCGTTTGTGCAGAAATAATTTTTTTTCACATGCTTGTAATGAAATCATTCATAAAAATAAATTTCATTAATTGCCACTTGTAGACAGAAGTAACCACACTTAAATAAATGCCACCAGGTGCACGTAGTAGGTCGGTTAAATTATAGCACTTTGTCGTCAGCCATTAAGAAGGCTATCGTTGCAAATATCTTTCGTCTTCTTTTTGCCGTGTCGTATTCAGATACGTATGCACTAATTTTGCCTCTAGATACTCTACTTTCTTTTGCGAAAACAAATTGGCTGGTACATAAGCATTTTACCAAAAATTTTATATTACACTTGCAAATTTTTGGGATATGAGCTACCCTGTTTTTTGGCAATGGTAACATACAGTGGCACCTAAACTTTTTTTTTTTCGGCCCCCAGGCTGTTGGGTGTCGATCTTGGCTAAACAAAAGTCTCCAAAGTACAAAGAAAGTTTTGTTTTACATTGGCAGAATTTAAGCCATCAATTTGAAGAACAAAAACAAATTTCTTGCGAATGCCCTCAGTTTGACACTTTCTCATGTTGCCTTTGAAATTTGTTAGAATTGTCATAATGTCAGGGCGACATTTATTTTTTTGTCTTCCGGTACAACCCTGCATAGGAAAATATATAGCACCGGTGTGACCCATCAACCACAATACATGGGTAATTCTGTGTTTACACGTGCCAGTTTCCAATTTCGATATGCCCAAGAACGCCCTGCTTAGATCGTAAAAATTTAAGATTTGCAAAAGGAAAACGAAACTTTCTCGCCGATCCGTTTTACTTTTATATATTTAATCGCTCGCTACCCAACAACAACGTACAAAAAAAAAAAAAAATATAACTTAACTGAGGCACCTAAATAAAAAAAGCGTATTTCAGACAACCATGACCCGCTTCAGTGCAGTAAAGCGAAACGCCACAAAGAATGCCCATCGCTTCGTCGTGCCGTGCCACTTATGTGACGCAAAT